TATGTTGTATTACATATCTCAGGATGAGCCACTAATGTGATGAACGCCAGTTTCCTTCCTTGAGAAAGAAGATAATCCCTGCCTAGCCTACATATCAGAATTGTTGAGAGTTCACATATGCTGGCTTAAAATGATTAACAATTATGCCTCCAGGTTGTTCTGCCTAGAGGGGTGTTTGAAAATCTTAATTGCTAGTGATAAGCAATCTGTTTTCAGCTCAGTCACAGCGAGTAACTGATTCTTCTTAGCCAAAAGATATCAAAAGACTCATCCATTTGATACTGAAGAGAGATTGTTGATCTCTCAGGGGCAAACACACAATGAGAACACAGACGCGTCTTCATGCTAAGGAGACCAAAGCTGCCACATAGCGTAGCTGTTCTCTTCATTTAACTAGTAACATTGGCACACAGCACTAGACAGAGGGAACGGGAAGAAAACAAACTTCAGTAGAAACTATCATAAGGACTCCGCTGTGTGCGTGAATGAAAAACTCTTGGGATAGTTATTGAAGGACTGAAAAGGGAAGGAGAGGAGAGGATGGAGACAGGGAGATTAAGGGCTCAGAATATCACGGGACACAGGAGAAGATCCAAGTCTTGAGAGAAGACTCTAGGTTAGGAAAAGGGGATAGACCACTCTGTTGGGTAGAGTAGTTAAGGTGCACCTCTGGTTTCCTAACTTGAAGAAACTAGAAACCAATGGTAAAAGTGACTACTGGCAGGTTGCCTAGTCTGCTTTCTTATTTAAAAATGTGATACTGGCAGTTCCAGTCTTATAGGGCTGATATAAATATTAAATGAGCTATTAAACAGAAATACCCTTTAAAATGCCCAGCATATGGCAAGTATATAATGGTGCACTGGCTCATTATTTTTAAGTATTGCCTGGAAAACTATATGGTCTGTCACTGTCAATGAATCTACTTATTCTCTTCATGAAGAAGCCACAAGGAAGAGTCCTGAAGTCTGTACTTGACCTATTACAAGCAAAATGAGTAAGCAGAATGACTCAAGGCAGCAGTGCTCCAAAGGCAGTTCTGGGATAATGGAAATGTTCTCTATCTGCATCTTCCAATACTGTAGCAAGTAGCTACATAAAGCCATTGAATCCTTGAAAGTTCCACCAAAGAAACAAAATTTTATGTAATTTAAATTAATTTAGGTTTATTAGACAGTGTTTCCCTACAGCACATTAATCCCACATATATCAGAAGACAATGGGCCGGGGGCCCCTTTGGCCTAATGGGGTTCTGTATTCTAATTCTCCTTTAGAAGCTGGATTTGAATCCTGACTGTATTGTTTTGATGCTGAACTATGTTCTGCAATTTTCTCAATCTCCTAGGCCTCAGTTTCAGCCTTAGTCATATGAGGTTGATATAACTGTATCGACTTCTAGAGATTAAATAAAATAATTCACACGAAGCAATGGTTCTCATAGTGTAGCAGGAATCAGGATCATCTGAGAGGCTGTTGAGGCAGAGATTTCTGGGCCTCCAGATTTTTGAGGTAGTAGGACTGAAGTAAAGGTGGAGAATTCACATTCCTAACAATTTCCTGCAGCAATGCTCATGTTGGTAGTCTGGGGATCTTTGAAAAAAACACTGTGATACAGTATAGATCTTGTTCCCACAAAGGCACGTGGTAAAGCATGGTCCCCAGCATGGTGCTTTTGGAGAGCTTTTAAGAGGGGGCCTAGCAGGGACTCTTTTGGTCTGGGAGTGTCCCCTTGGAAAGGACAGTGGAAACAGATATCCCAGATAAGCAGAAGGAACATTATCTAAATGGTCACACTTCCAAAACGGATAGGTTTAAAATACCAACAGTATTCATCACCAAAATTAAAAAAAAAAAAGTCCAGGAATTTATATGGACCCAAGAGAGACCTAAAATACCAAAAGCAATCCTGGACAATGAAAACAAGGTAGGAAGCACCATGATACCAGATTTCAAATTATATCGCAAGGCTATAGTGATTAAAAGCAACATGGTACTGGCACAAAAACAGACATGTGGAGGACAGAACAAAACAGAGGATGTAGGAACAACCCTAGGCACATTGCAGTTATCTGATCTTTGATAAAGGGGCCAGAAGCATATGATGAAGGAAAGATAGCCTCTTTTAATGAAGAGATAAATGGTTACACACGTAGAAGATTGAATCTAGACTCATATCTATCACCGTGTACCAAAGGAAAGTCAAAATGGATCAAAAACCTAATATTAAAGCACGATCAGTTGGAAGAAAAAAATAGGTAAAATTCTTGACACAGGCACGATGAATGACTTTCTAAACAGAACAAATTCTAATTTCACAAGAAATAGCATCAAGAATCAATAAATGGGATTATAGCAAATTAAAAAGCTTCTGCACAGCAAAGCAAACAACCAACAGAGTGAAGAGAAAACCAACAGAATAAAAAAAAAAGTCCTTGTCAGCTACTCCTCTGAGAGAGGACAGATATCTGGAATATATTTAAAATATCAGATTCCACAAAATAAAAGACCCCATCAAAAATCCGAGCAAGTGAAATAAATATTTCTCAAAAGAAGTACAAATGGCCAATGAGTACATGAAAAAGAAAATGTTCAACATCTCTGGCCATTTAATAGCAACAAGTTAAAAACAACAGTGAGATTTCACCTTACTCCAAAAAGAATGACCATCATCAAGTCAACTAATAAATGCCAACAAGGCTTTGGGGAAAAAGAAACATTTCCATTTTGTTGGCGGGAATGTAAACTAGCACAACCACTGTGGAAATCAGTATGGAGGTTTCTAAAAAATTAAAACTAAAAATTTCATTTGGCCCAGCTATTTTCTTTTATCTTCCTAAGGAGTTAAAAGCCTCATAGTACAGTGATACGTGCAACCCTTGTTTATAGCAGCACAACTCATAAAAGCTGTATCTTGGAAGTGGCCTAAATGTCCATCAACAGGTGAATGGCTAGCAAATGTGGCATTTGCACACAATGGAGTATTACTCTACTATAAAGGACACATTTGAGTCATTTGTAGAAAAATTTAGGCTCCTTGAGCCCATCACGTTAGATAAATCAAACACACAAGTTTAAATATCACCTGGCTTCTCTTGTATGAGAAACCTAAGGTACAAATAATCAATAGAGCAAAATAAAAGACAGATGACGGGAAACAGGGAGATAGATCTTTTGTAAATGTGAAGGGGATCTAGAGATAGAGGGAGGAAGAAGGAAAGGAGAGAAAGGGAAATAAAAAGAATTAAGATTCATTATGTACATGTGCCAACTCTCTATGATCACTATGTACTGTAAATATGTACAGTGATAATAATAAAGGAATAATAGGTCCCAGCTTTTCAGATTCTGTTTCTCACTCCTGGCTCATGATGAGGTAAGCAGCTTTGCTCCTCCCCAGTTCCCTCCCTGATGTGCTGTCCTGAGATAGGAATAAAAACAAAGGCATCAACCAAGCAAGGCCAAAAAATTCCCAAACTGTGAGTCAAAATGAACCTCCCTCTTTATAAACTGATTTTCATGTATTTGTTACAGTGATGAAACACTGAGTAACGTTGTTACAAAACTTTCAGCAGTGCCTGATGCATTACTGAGAACTGGATGGCGTTAGTCATTGAAGATGTCATGATAACCACCTTTCTGTAAATGTTGGGAATGTTTCTGGGGGAAAATGTCAGGCTCAGTCCATACAACATTATTATTTTGATAAATGTTTATGGGGCATCTACGAAGAGCAAGACGTCCTCATTGTGTTCCGAGTGCCTAGTTGGACAAGGAGGGCCCAAACTAGTTTTTGTCAGTAAGTGGAGTTACAGAGCACCAAGCCGTTTGACCATTATTACAGCCATCTGAAATGGTTTTCACCATTTCAACTCTCCACAAAACATACGGAAAACAACAATTAAAATCACCTTTCAGGGTAAACCACCATTAAGGTTTCTAATTCTTCATTTCTGTTAAAGATTGCGTTGGGTCCTGTAAATGTAGGTGGGATGCAAAAATAGATCTTAATTTCCTGGGATTACTGGGTGTGAGGGTTAACTTTATGTGTCAGCTTGGGTTACTCAGTTGGTGAAACATTATTCTTGGATGTGTCTGTGAGGGTTTTTCCAAAGGAGACTGGGATCTGAATTAGAAGACTTTGTAAAGATCTGCCACAGCAAAGCAGGCAGACATCAAGAATTCACCTGGAGAGAACAGACAGATGGAGGAAGGGACAATTTGCTCCATTCCTGACCTGAGATGCTCACTTATTCCTGTCTGAGGACTTCAGGGATTCTGGGTCTCAGGTCTGTAGACTCTAGGACTTACACCAGTGGCCCATTGGTTAGTTAGGCCTTGACTTCCAGACTGAAAATTACACTGTCAGTTGCACTGGCTCTCTGGCCTTGGAGGTTGAACTGAATAAGCACTGGCTTTCCTGAGTCTCTAGCTTACAGAAAGCATATTGTGGGACCTTTGAGCCTCAATAATCAGGTAAACCTATGGGCTTCAGATTTAGCTCAGAGGTTCCGCTGTCTGCCTCACAAATGCAAGGTCCCAAGTTCCAAAAAAAAAAAAAAAAAAAAAAAAAACTACGTAAATCTATAAATCCCCTCTTATAAATCTGCATAGTCTATTGGTTCTGTTCCTCTCAGACTCCTAAATAATATATTAGACAAATCTCTTAATTCTTATGAGCCAATTTTAGTCCTAAGCACACAGATCTTTTCAAGGCATAGCAGCAACCTGAAGCATTCAGATGCGAGCTCACCTGGGCATAGACTTTGATTCTTGGAAGTTACTACAGCTTATATAGGTTTTTTCCTCTGAGAGTGTTATCTATTCTACCTTTACCTCTGGGGAAAGAAGTTGTTGCAACAGGTAAAAATTACACGAACAATTGGTTTGATAGTTCCATCTTTATTTTATTTATTTATTTATTTATTTTTGTATCAGGGATAGAACTCGGGTCCTTGCGCTTGCGAGGCAGGCAGCAATACCACTGAGCTAAATCCCCCTGCCTATTAATTTTGTTATTTTCTAGTTTCAGAATAGGGTTCCTCAGAAAGGGCTGGGGAGAGCTTTGGAATAAATATACCCAAAGATGCTCCAGGACAATGGATATGCAATTTCAAGAGAAGATCCAAAAGGTAAAGTATTTTTTTTTCCCATGAACCAAGCTAGCTCCAAGAATCCTCAAGAGGAGCTTTTAATTTGGATACTAGGATATGGACCTTTGTAGATTTAGGTCTGTTCTGTTCTAAGGATCACTCTACTTCCTCCTGTCAAGTACCATGAGTGGAAAGTTTTTTGCCTAACATCCTGGTTATGTGCAAATGGTGACCAAGGTTGCAAAATATTGCAAGCAATTTCTGTTACAAAATCAATCTCACTACCAGGTCCTGACATAGAGTCAGGATCATCATTTTCTTGTTCAGCTGTAGGAACTATGTGCACAGAGGCTAGGCGTCAGAGTGATTTATTATTACGTAGAGAGAACGAGGTAGAAGTGAGACAAGAAGCTTCTCCGCATATCGAATACGTAAGGTCTCAGTACCACTTCATCTGTCAGTATACACTGTGAAGTCCTGTAATAGTAAAAAAGAGAAAACTTGGGAACTGCCTTTGCAATTCTGGGGGGCAAATGTGACCAAGGTTGGGTGAATAGAGATTTAAAATGGGTTGCTGTTGGCTGACTTGTAGACATAAATGAAATCAGTAGTTCAGGACTTATATTTCCAAAACGCACTGTCAAAATCACAATGTTTGCAGGGTCAAACATGCTGCCTCTCAGAGCTTTGTGCAACTGAAAAAAAATTAAAAACAAAAATAAAACAACAACAAAAAAAGCAAAAAAAAATACACAACTCTTCTCGAGGAGTAAAGGTTTAACTCTTAGACTTGCTTCATCTTTTATGAGCTAACTGTTCTCCCTCAGCTTTACCTTCTGCTTATGAAAATGGCAATTCCTCTCCTATGTATTTCCTAGGAGGCCGGTGAGACTAAACTGAGAAGAATGCAAAAAAGTGCTCATTAAGAATATAACTCAGGAACTTGGGCTCTTGTACAATGCATGAATCAAGGTGAAATAATGAAATGTTTTCGGAAGAGAGTATTCCACGTTTCAGTTAAGAAGCAGACAAATATTTGCTGGAATGATCAGTCTGGTGCCTGGGCAAACAAGCAGCTTAAAAACACTAGGGCAGGCAATATCTCATTGACAGAGGAACTACGTATAGTAACCAACCTGCTCTTAGGAAATCTGTTATGGTTTAGACCAGAATGTCCCCTAAAGCCTCATGCATTCAGAGCTGTTTTAGAAGGTGACTGCATCATGAGGTGCTATACTCATCAAACAATTCACCCACTGACGGCCATAGCTGTTAGGAGTTGGGCGTGGTAGCGGGTGGTGTGACCTGGAAGGGTACATTCTTGTCCCTGGCTCTTCTTTCCCTCTCTTGCTTCCTGCCCTGCATGACAAAAGCAGCTTCTCTCTGCCAGACCCTTCTACCATGCCCCTCCTGCCGTTGAGCCAGCTGACTATGGACTGAATCCTCTAGAAACCATTAGCCAAAACAAACCATCCCTCCTGTAAGTTGTGGGTGTTAGGTATTTTGTGCCAGTGAAGGGAAAATGACTAAGACGTGAATACAAAGTCAATCAAATGATGTCTCACGGATTTCAAGTCTAAGACCTCAATGTACTGCTTTTTAAAAGGGCTTGGGGCTTGGGATTTAGCTCAGTGGTTCTGGTGGTTGCCTCGCAAGCTCAAGGACCTGAGTTCAATCCCTGGTACTAAACAAAACAAAACAAAACAAAACAAAACCAGAAAACCACCACGGCTTGGTTAAGTGAACACCTGTTACAATAAGTACTCAAGGAAGGAAACACACATCCTACCCCATTTCCCAAGTTACTGCTTGCTCTCTTTAATTACATTTGTATGGATACATTCAGATCAAAGAGCATGCCTCAAATAATTGGGGATTCACACAACTATGCCTTCTTTAGTATTTTTTGTTGGCTGATCACATTTCATTGATGAGATTCAGAATATTATTTGAACACTATAAAGCCTCATTCATCAAATGAAGCCAATAATCAGCTATACAAAATTAAATGATGAACTGTCCCCAAATTGGGTGTATCAGTGTGTGTGTGTGTGCGTGTGTGTGCAGAAATTGGCAAAAGCTACTTTATTTCAGTGTCCACAATGCAAGATACAGTTCCTCTTGTGATTAGTTTGATGGTGCCTATAGAATCCCCACCAATTTCTTCACCTCTTGGATCACAGGATATGCTAATTCTTTAGCTTTTGCTGATCCAGTGCGCAAAATCTTCTCTAAATAGTCCTTGTCTATCTTCAGTTTTTCAATTTCACGCTTAATTGGAGCAAATTTCTCAATGACAGCATCTGCCACCACCTGCTTGTAGTGGGCAGTGTCGGTGCCCACGCTGCTCTGGACCACTTCGTCCACTGAGAGTCCTGTCACTGCAGCGTGGATTGCTACCAGGTTGGAGACGCCCCCTCGGCTAGCAGGGTCATAGGTAACTTCAGAGGTGAAGTCTGTCACAGCCTTGCGAAACTTACTCACTATCTCCTCTGGGCTGTCTGTAATCCGAACAGTGGCCAGTTTGTCAGGGTCTGACTTTGACATTTTGGCAGAAGGGTCACGGAGGGATTTCACCTTCTTCATGGGTGCTGGGTAGAACACCAACACACACATGCCAAGAGACAAAAGTGACAAACAAACAAATCACCAAGAATGGCACCGTGCACATCTTGAAAACACTGAGAATACCAAGTAATTATTATTTTACCTGATTATACAAATAACAAATACTCATCATGAAAAACTCAAGCAAAGTATGAAAGGCCATCTGAGCCATATGATGACTGTTAACATTTTGCTGATACTTTCAAGCATCTTTTAATGTACACAGCCACATAAAAATTTAAAATCGGGCACCAATAAAATTATGTTAACCATTCTGCTTTTGCTGTGTACATCTTTAAAATATTCTTCTTCCTATCTGCTGTTTGTAATCACTCTCTGCCCCTCCTGCTCCCCCAACCAATTTTAACAATCTGTGGCAATTCTTACATCTTCTTACCCAGGATTATATGTTTTACACACACACACACACACACACAGACGTATTTATTGCTCTGATAGAATCAAGATGCTAATTTGTACTTCATAAATCATTATATTACTAGTAATTGCCTATTTTATGGCTATTATAGAAGCATATAAAATTGAAATAAGTAAAATAATAATAGGTAAGACATTAAAATCTTATTTATCAGGCCAGGGATTTAGCTCAGTGGTTCCGCCACCTGTCTCGCAAGCTCAGGACCTGAGTTCGATCCCCAGTACCAAAAAAAAAAAAAAAAAAAAAAAAAAAAAAAAAAAAAAAAAA